GGCTGTAACACCAACTACAGGCTGCTTCTGTTCGGAGATCAGCTCCGCAGAGTCTGGCGTAAAACATCTTGCCTTGGGCCCATCCACCAGAGGTTGTGTGAAGTCTGGCGTAGAAGCATCTTTGCCTTGGGCCCACATCCCACCAGGGTTGTGAACACTAGAGGTGAAGCTGCCTTGATCAACATTTGAATTCTCTCTCCCCATATGCCCTTCTCTTGTCGTTCTCGTTCCTCCTATGTGCAGCATCGAGGCTAGGTTACGGTGACAAACGGCCATGGGATCAAAAATCCTGATGTCGAAGAAAGCTCGCTGTCCCGGCGTCCAGAATCCTCGAGCACTGACGTCCACACGGGCTTCGTTAGATGTGTTTGAAGTCCTGTGTTGGAAGATCTCGCCATCCAGTGGAAGGAGGGTCAGTTCTACCATGACGTCCCGGCAGATTTCCTTCAACATATTTGCTGTGAGATCCCTTACCTCGTCATGCCTCATGCATATGAAGCCCCCCTTCTTGCAGACCATGGCGTGATCGCCATCATAGGAAGAGCCACACACGCATTGGGAGGGCAAACCATCTACTGGCCAACCGTACCTTGGAGTAATCGCATCTGTAAATTCTTGTTTGTTAAGGCTGAAACCATTTGCCCTTATCGGTAACGTAGTTAACCAGTTCGAGGCGCCCACCTCCTGCGCTATAGCTATTTTTTTTGTCAAATTTTCTGGAACCTGCAGCAATAGTTGCTGCAACATGTCATTTTGGCAGTGCTGCCGATCTGTTGTAATGGACCTACGGATCTTATTAACTTCACTGGTGTCCACTTCCCCTGTTGCATTCTGGGCTATTATGTGGTCAGTGAGGGCTGCCGTGAGCTTAAGTGAATTTTGATGTTCAGAGTCAGCAATCTCCTCTGGATTAGTTAGTCCCATCCCTCCCAGTCTTGGTGGAAGTGCAAGAAGTGTTCTTTCTGCTCGGGTTAAGTCAGGGTGTTTCACTAGTTTGGGAATGAACTTGACACTGATTGCTTCTTCCAAAGGGTGGAGGAGGGGTCCGATCTCAGGGATGGTACGCATCAGGTAGTTCCAACGATGCTTGACTCCATGGGTGAATGCTGCAAAGGCCGCATGTGGCTCTGTGTTAGCAATCTCCGATAGAGCTTGGATTTCGCTCACCCACTCATTCACCTTTCCCGCTACGTACTGGGTCTTGAAGTCCGTAGTGCCAATTACTGCGCCAAGATGTCTTTGGCCGTCCTAAGTTATTTTGACCTCACTTTCGCCGAAAACCTCCACAGCCCGATCATAATGATCTGGCTTCACGATGAGGAAGGATTTGCTGGCGTTTGGGTGGTACCCTATTTGTGGACCTCGCGATGTTACCAGGTCCTACCACTTTTTGATGTCCTCCACTTTTCCTGCTCTTGTGAGGTCATCAGCATATGCCACTTGTTTGACCCCAGTTGTTTCATACTTTATTTCTTGTTGGAGCACTGATAGGCCTATTGCATACATTGCCATTGCAACGGGGTCCCCCTGTGTTGTTCCCTCAGTCGACTGTAGGATGGTATCACCTCGTAGAGCCTTGTTGTTTACTATGTAGAGGTCTGAAGGATTCCTATACGAATTTTCAACATACATCGCAAAGCTAGGACACTTGATCTTGATGTTGTGCAGTGCAGCCTTGCGGTTAAGTATGTTGAATGCGTTTTTTATCAGTGTTGATGTTCTTATAAAAGTTGTATTCGTGGATATTTTTCTCGACTATTTAATTAATCTTCGGTTCCAAATTCCAAAAATAGTCATAGGTGAATATTTATCCTCGAATAGAAACAAGAGAACGAAAATAAATACATTGTTATTGTTTACATCCGCGACAACGTATGGTGTATTTACATGTATGACGTCACACAAAATCTTAGGCAGATTTGTTATTATTGATATTTAAAGGAAACATAAAGGTGTGGCTATGGTATGGTGTTGTGATTAGATAAAGGGAGACTGATAAGAGCCACACCCATCTGTAGTCAGGGTCAGGAGTAGGTGACGTCATTATTATCACGTAGGAGTAGGATTTATATGCATGACGTCATACTTCTTTACACAGGGGGTGGTAGAGGGCGGCCATTAGGTTACAAGTATGACGTCATGATCCTGCTTATGAGTGGGCATTTGCATGTGTGATGTCATTATCGCGTCCATTCCTTGAGGATTACATGTATGACGTCATTACTTCATTTTCTGGAGTAGTTACCTGTGTGACGTCATTACCCCTCTTGCAAGGGACTATTTACGTGTGACGTCATAACATTGGAGTTTTACCTGGCCATTTTAAACCCATCAATTTAATTCTACTAAAAAACTTATACTGTATATAAAAAAAATGTACAACTGAGACATAAACAATAAATAATAACTAAAAAAGTATAAAAACATAAAGAAAGAGGAACAGTGATCTGTGATTGGTTCAACGTGGCGCCAATCACCGAGCATCATTCGACGTCATTTTCCCGCCTTTTTTTTCGTGTGTATGAGAGGGTGACTAACACACACACACCCTCTCTCCCTCCTCTCCTCAACTAGGGGTAAGCTGTATCACCTGCAGTACCTGTGTTTAGATGTTTACTAGATCTTTAATTAAATGTTGTTAACTCACTAATAAAAAAAAAAACACCTTTCTATACACACCGGACGTACCGATATATGTCCTTGTAAATATGACACCAGTTTTGATGATGATAAATTGACGTGTATCTTAGGGTAATCCCTTCTCAAAGTATAAAAGTAATATATTTCCCAATAGAATCCTTGCCAAAGTATATAAAAGTAGTGTAATAGATGTTTTTGGCTTTTTAACTTTTTTTTTATTAGATATTAAAAGTAATTTACCAAACTTGTCTATTTTTTGTAACTCAGTATAACTTTCGTTGCTTTTTTTTTATCTGATATACGTGTGTAATTGTTATCAGAATAGCTTAAAAAAATAATAGTTGGATTTGTTTAATGCTTTTGTGGCTGAAGTCCTGTAGAGGTGATCAGTAGTTACACTCTTTATAAGTAACTTCCATCAGTCCTCACTTTACCGACCTGGCAAGGATGCTGTAGTAGTAGTAGTAGTAGTAGTAGTAGTAGTAGTAGTAGTAGTCGTCTTATAACTTCTACCACACCACCAACCTCATCCATCCCTCCAACCACACCTTCCCTCGCACCCTCCTTCACATTCTACCACACCCAACCACACCCTCCCTCTTTCACTCTCTACCACACTACCACCACAATCAACCCTCCAACCACACCCCCCCCTTCCTTCACTCTCTACCACACTACCACCACAACCAACCCTCCAACCACACCCTCCCTCTTTCACTCTCTCTACCACACCGCCACCACACCCTCCCTCTTTCACTCTCTCTACCACACTACCACACCCATAGGTTATCATCATATACAGCTTGATCTTTATTTCAGGCACTTCGAGTAGGAAGGAGGAAAATAATAACAATGTATTTTAATTAGACTCGTTATTTTTCACATTAGATCAATAGTATAGCGCAGATTTAAACGTACTTTTAGATCTGTTTATATTTTATATTTGTATATATGAAACGCCGAAAAACAGATCTTGTGATATATATTTTTAAAGGAATATATATAAGCTGCATGTAGCCCCAGTTTTATATGTACCCACAGGAGGTTGTGTCTTAGCATGGCGTGTGTGACGGCGGGAGTGAATGAGAGGGAGGACCACGCCCCTCCCTCCACTAACAAACAACAGCATTTTGGATCTGTATTGGAGCATTTACTAAAAACAGTGTGATCTGTACAAGAGCATTTTTTGGTAAAGTGTACAAAACGCTTTGTACATGACGCTTTGTACGAGAGAGTTATGGCCTCAATAAGTGAGCATTTTGATCTGTAAAAGCGTAATGTTTACGCTACAGGAACACTGTGGTGTGTACAAAATCATTGTTCATGCATATGGGTGCTGTATTTTGTACAGGATCGTTGTGATGTGTACAAAATTACAGCCTATTATACAGAAACCTAATAATCTGTACAGGAGCGTAGCATATTGTACAGGAGCGTAGTATACTGTACAAGAGCATTGTAGTATGTACAAGAGCATTGTGATATGCACATGCACATATACATTGTATTTTTGAGTCGTAGTGTCAGTACATGAGCTTGCACATAGTACAGCAACAATTCAACCTGTACACGAGCATTGTCTTGCGTACATCACGATAGCATTTTGTACAGGAGCCTTGTGTCTTGTACAGAAGGACTGTGGTCTGTACAGGGTCATCTGACCTGTGTGTTGTATAGTGTAGAGTCAGCCACATGACGCGGTGTATTGTAGCAGTATTGTGGAACAGCTCATTAGCTCCCTCTTGTCGTGGTAGCTTTACACACTTATTAAAAAGAACACACACTTAAAATGGATCAGCTAAGTAATTCTGGAGCTAAAGGATAAATCTAAGTTTAACATGACACAGCTAAATTAGGCAGAGTATGGAATGACGAAGAGATTAATAAAAGAATTGAGACCTTCAGTTGCAAGAACGTGCATGAGTCAAGTGCAACAACTTATTCTGCATGTTCGACAACTTTTGTGAAGTTTATATACTCTGCATAGTAAGTTAAGGTTAGCATTAAGTTTGGTCTAAATAATCAACTGGATATCATACCTAAATAACACAAAATCAATACATTTCATGAACACTTTGAGAGAAAAATTATATACACAAAAGACCAAAAAATTAGGGTAATTCATGACTTTTTTTAACTGTAAGAAAATAGATGAATCCCTAAATATTATTAAAGATTTTTTGAGATTTTAAAACATGTATGGAGACATATGGAATGTAAACATATCCTTAGTGAGTCAGAACAGCCACTCGTAGCAGTCTTGTAACTCTTGTTGGCGATACATCCATACCCAGCTGTAGGTCTTCCAAGCTATCCGATTCTAATGCTGTTTTTTTTTTCTCTGCCCTCCCGCCTTCCAGCTGCGCTACATGCAAACCCTCAACGCCATCAGTGCTGAGAAGAACTCCACCATCATCTTCCCGCTCCCCATCGACCTACTCTCCCAATATATGAAAAACGGGAACAACAAGAGTGGGAAAAATAGGAAAAGCAAGAAAGATCTACTGTCTGACGACGAATAGGGAACACCTAAAGATTCTAGGTACACAAGAGATTCCACCTTGAAAAGTACTGCCAAGCTAGCCTTGAGTTAGGGTCAAGTAGTCTCGTAGCCTTTTGGATCTGAGCTGTACATTCCTAAGCTGTTCTTATCATCATCACCTAAGCTGATGTTCGTTTTTTCTTAAATGCCACGAGTTAGGATCTTCTGAGTCCGCTACTCTCATCTTAGTGTCCCGCTCTCTGGCTCTTGGAAGTGGACAAAACCTCCCCGCTTCTTGGGGCTCCTATGGGACCACTCTGCCAGGAGGGCCGCCGCGCCCTTCATGAGGACAGGGAGATTTTTACTGTGCTCTCAGAAACTTGGTCCTTGGAATCACTACAAGGTGCATAGAGAGCCAGAAGCTGACGGGTCCAGCAGAACTTAGGATATCCGTGTGAGGTTTATAGCTTCCTTGTAGGCCGCTACGTAATGTATGTCTCGGGTAATATTCGTATCTTCTGAGCCACTGTAAGAAAATACCATAATCCAAGTGCTTAACACATCACACCCAGCCAGTAACTCCAACACACGTCATCACCTCTCTGTGTGACGTGTTTTATTATGGCGCCTTCCTCCATGACCCATAAAACGAATAAGTACTTTTTTATGTCACAAAATCTGCCTCAACCTTACTAAACAAGGCACATAATCAAAAAAATTCGTTATTGATATATTTATTCTGAATTACTAACGTAGATATAAGTAGAAATTATACTTATGTACAGAGTCATCGAAAAAGAATACCCAGATGTTTAATGATTGTCTAGATAAATATGGGCATTGTTTTTTTATCACCCTGTGTATAATTGATATGTAAAATCGTACAAGTCGCTCCTAGAAGAGACGAGGTAAAGCCACAAGCTCTTGGATTAAGCGAGATCTTCGGTGTCCTGGAAACATATAAGTATTGTACTCATACATACAATAGGAAGGCAAAGTTTCCCTTGTGTATCTGGAATACTGAGACTGTACCAGGACGGGAAGAACACTCACTAAGTCGAGGTTTCCTCCCGTCCTTATAACCAGAGTGTTCAATCTACAAAACACAGACAAAAAACAAAAACTAAATTTACAAATATGCCCAGTGAGAATTTTTCTTGGGGAGTGGTGATCAGTCAAAATTGTAGGTGAAAATGGTAAAATTGGTGCAAGATGAGTGACTTCCCTGCTCACCAAGTCACCACTCCCTCACCATCATAAATATTACCATACTTTAACGGATTGCTGTTGATAATCAATCATAAACTTTTCTTGTAATTGTGGATTCACTAAGACCACCAACAAACGTTTCGTCATTTTCTAAACCATAAGAGAAAACGGCTTTTCTTCGGGGGTACTCCACCATATTCTATTTATATAAGTGTGTGTTTGACTTAGTGAAAGATAGTAATGTGTCTTGTTCAGTGTTGGCCTCTGGGAATATAGACTTGTACTAATTAAAAAAAATTATCAACTAAATTACACAGTAGAACCTCAGTCTCACGCCGGGAGATAAGAGAACTATTGTAATATTGATTACGAGATTATCTCCAGCACTCACACGTCACTCATGTTTACAATATTCTCGAAGAAGAGTGTCTGAGGGAGTACAGCTGCACACATTGAGGTCCAGAAACGTTTTTTGGTAAAGGTTGGATCCACAGCCACACTTGTGCATATCAACCATACCACTCAAAAAGAGCCCCCTAAAAATAGGCGTCGATCGGCTAACGCGCACACACTCGCCCCCCCACCACCACGCACCCCGTCACACCCTCTCAAAACACACCCTGATCATTGTTCTGTTTTTAATGAGGTAAACACAAACCGTACTGGAGGTGTGTGAGTGTGTATGATGGGTGGGTGGTGGTAGTGGTGCAGTAGGTGAAGTGTGCTGACGTGGGTGTCACCGAACGCGTCTCTAAGTTTACGAGGGGCGAGTCTAGGGGGCATTAAGTATACTGTACCCAGGTTCCAGCCCTTCACTGCTTTAGGGAATACTCTCCTCGGATTGGTCAATACGTTATCAAAACATCACATATTGATTTTTCGTCTCTGTTATCTAATTTATTCAATCAGCTCTCTTATATATCGTTCAAGTGAGATCTTAGTCATGTTCTTCCTCCAAAAAACAGTGAAGAGCTGTGGGCAGACTTTAATACCATGAATTTTTGTTGCACTCAATTGATATATTATCGTATATAAATATAAATATATATATATATACATTACGTAGCACTCAATAGCAATAATCAGTGAAGAGCTTCGTTATAAAAGTTTTACAGTAGATTTCACTATAGAATGGGTAGCGTTCGAGAATACGAATATTATAAAAAAAAATCCATTAGAATTTTCTAAAAAAGTTTATCAAACGTTGGAAAAATAGTTATATCTTATCAGTTTATAGTAGAGATTTTTCTGATATAATATTTTAAATGTCCCGTATTTTACAGACTTTGCATGATTATCTGTTGCATTAATGATCGAGTTTTATATTTGAATAAGAAGACTGTGAGCTCTCCATACCGACTCTGTACACCAGATGTCGCTCATGACCTCTGCTGTAACGTAATGAATCTTTGAGGAACATTTTATTGAATCTTTTGGGTGAATCTTGTACTGGAGGGTGAGGAGGAGGCTTCGTGAATCTCCACACACACACACACACACACACACACACACACACACACACACACACACACACACACACGCACACACACACTAGGTTCTAATAGCCTGTTTCCAATTCCCAACTATCCAGATCTGGTGAACTAAATGGTACACACTATCCATCCATCTCTCCAAGCTAGTACTAATTAAAGACCCTTGAAGACCTCACTAACCATCCCCAGCCTTGTACTAATTACTGTACTATCGAGGCCTATAGTTACTATCGAGGCCATAATACAATAATGCACTTTCTACCTATCCAATACTAACTACAGGACTATCTAGGCTTCACTATCGTACTAACAGTAAGTAGCCTATCCGTAGTCCGTGTCACTAACATAACATCGACTTCGTACTGGTAAAAATATAACAATCTGGGTTTTGAATTCTATTGAAGACGTATTATATAATTTGTTCTCCTTTTGGGCAGTTTAAAAGAATTTTTCGTAGCGTTGTTTGTGTCATCTTTAGTTAACGTAAAAATTTTACCGTATGAAGTTCTACTGTAAGAATGTGAAACTTTATGACCTAAATTGTAATCTTGCTCGTGATGTTTATACAATTTTATAACTATTTAATTAAAATGTGAATTAAGGTGGAAAGTTGTTATTAGGTTTATACAATGCATAACTTTTACATATTAAACATCCATATGCGCTTGGTGTGGTGGAGGAGGTTCTGGGTAGGTGGGATGACGGAACAGGTAAGATTTTGAAGGACCAGAGTCAAACAACCTGATGCCATTGTCATCTAGGATTGAAACACTCACTTACACCCTCTTCAAAATACCACTAAATGTAACTGTGCAAATACCGAACCTATTTTTGCTATAGTTACAATTTAACGTGTTGTGACTACGCTTCTAATGACGTTCTAACCTACATTACAAAAATACATTTCTCGTAAAACTTGTATAAAAAAATAAAAAAAGGATTTCCCCCAACCCTCAGAATCACAGTTCTTGAAAACACTTTGAGACGATAGCAATTGTTTATCGAGTCAATCTGTCGCGCTAGTTGTATTGTTGGAAGTTTTCTGTTAAGGATGGTGTATGGATTATTAACCTATATCACAACCACAGTGAACTGATAACAGAATTCCTGAATAAAGATATCATATTGTTCTTAAGTTCGATATCAGAGTTCTTAAGTACACATGTCATAGAGTTCTTGATTGATTCTGAACAACAGTTGTGAGTACGAGTTAGCTTCGCAGATTTATGCTAGGATTAATTTAGTTTTGCCAGACTTTTGACTAACCTTTTAAGGCGGTGCTTTTTGCATAATAAAAGTTACATTTTACTAAAAAGACAAAAGTCAGCTGACGAGTGATATATTATCGCTCACCACCAGTAAAATAATTGTTATTAAACCTTTAACCAGGTATAAAAGAAAATAATAATCTTTTCACTAACGGTTGACCTGCGTGTTTTCATCCGCTTTGACTGCAGTTTTCGGTCAATCTTAAAAATAAGTTAAATTTATCATGAGCGTGGCAGATTTTAGTCAACTCTAGTCTAGATTCACTGATGTTAGTATATTGGATATTCCTAGTAAGTTAAAATATAAGAATACACCTAAAAAAAACATCAAAAAATAGCCTAAAATTTACAAAAAATATTCGACTTTGACTAGATACGTTTGATTAACACTTGCGAATATCTCTAGTTTAGGTGAGTTTATTATTTTAATGCTATTTTTTGACGTTACTATTGTTTTTGGTTAACGTCAGCCAGTAGGGTGTGTTTTTGTACCATAAGTTACTGGGAATAGTCTTCATATGAACCTTTGTGGATACGACCTCAACAGTTTACTAAATTCTTTTTGGATTCATAAACTCTCGGTCTGTACAGCTCTATTTGGCCTTTCCCCTCTCTTGCAAGGGCTTAGGTGTCCATTTGTATATTTAATTGTACATAAATAGGCAAAGAATTGCTGTTATGATTATTACCATGATCATTAATAATATTATTATATTTATTTTTTATTATTATCATGATCAGATGTTCAAGTTTTCTACGCCGTGTTACTTAAAAATGGGAGTTAATGAGATTCAAAATAGGTGTTGTTGGGTCCGTCACACCCAACCATATGCAGAGAGAAGTTTAATGATAAATCTAGTCCTTAAATATTGAAGAGATAAGAAGTGAGAGATGATGTTTGTTAGAAGTTTTATACAGAAAATATGTCATATTGTTACAGCGAGGGCAACGATCAGTGAGGCTCAATAAGGAAAGGCAACAGGCCATCATTCTCAGGCCAACTCAAAATGCGTCATGTTACACTTAACGAAAATGTCCTCAAATCTTTTCCACATATTTTCATTAATTACAGTAAGCGATGAATCTGAGTACATTGTAAGTGCGAAAATACTGACTGCTTTCCATTTATCGTCACTGATGCCTTGACCCGGGCAGAAACACACTTAACGCGAGCCCTCACTTCACGGAATCGTTTTGGCAAATTCCACGTGTATGAGGGAAAGGATTTTGAGTAATTGGTTTTTGCCCACCATAATGCCATTTGAAAACCCTTATTCCTACACCCCGACAAAATCTAAACCACCGACAATATAATTTCCCTGATTTAACTTACCTGCCCTTGCCTAATCTAACCGTACCTGATCTAACCTAGCGTATATACCTCCCTAAGTTAACCTAACCTATCTTCGTAACTTAACCCAACCTGACCTTATTTAGTATAGCCTATTGAAGCCACCTAATGTAAATCAATGAAGGAACCCACATGGACCCCTTGGTAGGTCATGACCAGTCGGCAAACTTAGGCCCTCATTAACGTGGAATTTTCTGCTGAAAGGCGCCAGACGACCCCAGATGGCTTCACGACCCAGAAAACAGAAACACCAGCGTAAAAAGTAATTATACGTTTAAAAAATTACAAAAAAAACGCAGTTCTTAAGATGATTATGAATAGAATGTTGAAATTTAAATCACTACGGATTATTTTCAAAGCTTAATAAATGTTCACCTCGCCTTCATAACTGCATATAAGCTGCACTGCAAACGCTTGCTTGCTTCCATATTTTGGGCGCAAAGAGGTACTCCCTTTGAGGTTTATGTCTCAGGGTGGCAAGATGGAGGCCACTTGATCACCAACAGCATTGGCGATCCACGCAGGCAAAATTTGAGTATGTGTATGATATATCTTTCCCAGCCTCCTTCAGCCCAAAATATGAAGTGTCTCACACGTCCACAAATTCTGCGTTTCTCTTTCAATATTACAGATATATTTGCAAATCTTGTACACCTTGTTTCACAAAAATAAAGATATTACATAAATACTCCTGTGTATGTTTCCTCCCCAAGTAATTCTACACCATGCAAGGTTGTGTGTATAGCGTTATCTCCCGCTTTATAACATGTTGGGAGTAAAAGTGAAGGTAAATGTAGAAAATATTATCCTCTTAGCAGAAACACAAGTACCTGCCCTAGACTCCCCACCATTGGCTAGGAAACAAGACACGAAAATGTAAGGCATAAAATTGCAATATTTTGCTAAACATACAAACACCTGACAAATATAACACCTAAGACGAAAATTATCTGAAACACAAACATGAGAAGCACTTGGATTAAGCCCCAAGACCTAGCATTCTACTACTATTTTCCAATTTCCTCGATTTTCTTCTTACTATCCACCAACCCCAAGTCCCTCCAAACTCCATCCATTATTCTTCAAGTCCAGTAACCCGCACCAGCATCAAGATCTCATCATGGTTATCAAAAGAAGATTTAGAATATTCTCCAACTCTGCTCAAAATATCGAGGTACAAGTGACGGTAGGTGATTTTTAGTTACTGCTGGTTAATTGTGATTATATGTATCTTAAAATAAGGATATTACAAGCTTGTTATACTGTTTTTAGATCATTTGTGAGAGTTTTTTTTTATTTTTTATTGGGCACTCCCCTACATCCTTGTGTAAGGTGAAGCGCAGAAGCGTTTACAGCGCCCAAGTTCATGCTTGCCTTTATGTCTCATGAGTTATGGGCGTAGAAGCCTGAAGAGTCAGTGGTTTATGTAATGAAGTTAGTGGAAGCTCCAACAACTTTCCCTGAATACGAATTCGCAACTTTCGACTTACAACAGGTACCTGTACCTACTTTACTGCTAGGTAAACTGGGACTAATGGGGGCCAGGGTTGCCAGATGTTCAGTCTATAGTACAATAATAAGTCGATGTAATACAATCATAAAAAGTGTATCAGTAGTGGAGAAAGTTTGTTTTTCAGATAATATTAAATAAAAAAATAATTGTTAAAACTATGTGGGGTTAGTTTATAATTATTATAATAGGTAAAGTTGAGTTACTAGTGGTGGTGTTCGTGGTAAGTTATTAACAGTTAGTGGTGTTGTTCGTGGTAAGTTATTAACAGTTAGTGGTGTTGTTCGTGGTAAGTTATTAACAGTGTTCATCGCCTCGCATGTAAACAAGTCGACCAAAATGTGTTAATTAAAATACAAACTTGGAAGGTTTAATACTTCACTACGTCATTATCACTGTGAGTTGTTTACTGTTTCTTAAATTATTTATGACTTATATATACAGTTTATGGTAAAGGTGTAGATAATGGTTACCGCCAGAAGGAGTTTGTTGAAGTGGTTGAAATTTAGTCTACAATAATATGATATAAAACCTGACCTAACATACCCGTAGGTTGGGTATGTTAGGTCAGGTTTTATTAGGTTCTATTCACTAATATCATGATATTAAATACAAAAATGGAAATGACAGTATAG